CTAAAGAAGCTCACGATATCGTAACTAACAGACATCTAAATAGTTGATGTATAATATGGAAAAATGCTATGGAAGCAAACAAGAACTGAATCAAGATGGAGGATTGAGCAAACACTGCAGCCCTACCCCTTCTACCACAAATCCCTAGAAATGATGTGTATGTGTATATAAAATATATATAATAGATATACTATACATTTTCCTATATATTTATATATAGGACATAAGTACACTATAAACTTTAGTGTAAATTTTTATATACTATAAATCCCTAGATTACATATGTCATATCATATATTTGTAATAATAAATATAATCTCTAGGGATACACCCTAGAAATAAGAGAAAATATATTTTTTTCTTATTCAATAAGAGTCCTGGAAAATAAGTGGCATTTTCAGTTGACCTGAAATTATAAGGAACCTCTGAAAAATAGACAGCAAATGGGGTGAAACAAAAACCCACATACTAAAATGTATAAAAATGCAAAATGTGGAAACATCCTGGATGTAAACAGTAGTATCAGGCAGTTGGCTTCCCCACCAAGAGGTATCTTCTCTCCTCCCCAGGAAAGAACAGTGAGTACAATCACATAGGCTGGAGAAAAATAGAGTTCCAGCAAAACATCCAGTCCTACTTCTCCATCAGTCACTGGATCAGGATTATAATAAATAGCATGACTATTAAACTATCAAGGAATCTCAAATCAAATATGAGCAAGAATCATCAAACCCTTGAGGGAAACCAACCCCATGAAAGGACATCACACTCAACAAACAGAAGAATATCTGAAGGAATAGAATTAAAAGAACTAACAGAAATAGGGAAATATCATTTTTTTAAAGCTTTTTTAAATGTTTGTTTATTTGGGGAGAGAGAGGGAGAGAAAGGAGCAGAGAGATGGAGAAAAACCCAAGCAGGCTCTGTGCTGTCAGTGCAGAGCCCAATGCTTCAGAAGAAATCAAACCTACCCACACCTTGATCTTGGATGTCCAGCCTCCAGAATTGTGAAAAAATAAATGTGCATTGTTTAAGCCACCCAGTCTATGTTATTTTGTTATGGAGGCCCTAGAAAACTAATATAGTGATACTAGCATATGATTAAAATATATGGAGGTAGGGGCACCTGGGTGGCGCAGTCGGTTAAGCGTCCGACT